GAAAATTATAGCAAGTATTTTAAAATAAAGTGTTTAAACACAAAAATGGTGACATTAATTGTAATTGCAATTAAATGATATATTTAGTGAATGTATTGCGAATACATTACCATAGACTCAGACATGGGATCAAAGAAATGGTTATTCAGTGTTAAAATATTTAATGCAATATTAAAATTAATTTTGAAAGAAACAAAACTTAAGATTTAACAGTTTCTGATAAAAATGTAACAAATTTTAGGACAATTAGTGAAGAGTTTATTGACACACATTTCAGTCGTGTCTTCTTCCGGGTCTTCACAAACTCTCATAAAACTAAAGCTACGGATTTGTCTCAATCCAGACAATGATATCAACGACTCGTCGCTAATCTTCACGTACTTTACGTCCAAATACTGAAGATTCGGTAAATTGTGGCCAATTTTAGCGAAGAATTGGTCCGTGAAATACAAAGTTGGATCATAACTACAGTCCTGTAAATGCAAATGAGTTAATCGTTTTAATGGCGCCAATGAATAGCTGGTCAGCGGCTCTCCCAAGAAATTTCTTGCAACTATTTTCAGTCTCTTTAATGACTTAAAGTGTTTACTAATGGTATGAATCGTTTCTGGCGTCCATTTATTGAAAGTAATATAAAGATTCTTCAGATGTCGACAATTGATACCAATTTTAGTCAATAATGGGATCAACTCTTCACACGAAACTGAGCGGACATTGAGTTCAAGACTAATCAATGTTTGCATTCGCGGCAAACTATGGCTCAAACGGTTTATCAATTCACTAATATTTTGGCCTTCAAAACTCGCAAATCGCAAATACAACTCAATACTCTTCATTTGATGGCCGTATTTGTCCGCAAACACATCCAACCTAATCATGTCTTCAGCCGATTCTTCAACAGTTAACACAATACTATTGAGTCGTTTAAACGGCACTTGAATTTCGGTCACCGATTGTAAGGTTAGGTTTGGTATTGAATCGGAATAAACTCTAAAAGACCGCAAATTGACACACATTTGCAGCCATTTCTGAATCCACTTCTTATCAATTGTTTCATTAAATGTCAAAAATCTCAATGTTTTCAATTGTGGACCAAATTTAGTGATAAACTTATCAATTGATTCGACACTAATATTCCCGCAGTTAAGAGATATTGTCGTTAATTGAGGACAATATTTGATGAGTAGATCAATGGCTGTGTCTTCTATACGACGAATATATGGCAAATGAATGGATGAAATATTCGGACATTTCTTTACAATTGTCTCAAATATACTCCAATTGTATTCAAATCTTATCAATTTGTCGGTAAATATGGACTCAATTCGTGTCTTCAATGACCGGAATATTGACTGAAAAACATTCAAACGTTTCGTTGGGATTATTCTTTGGCCGGAATTGCCATCAATTGTTAACATCGTTTGACTCCTGAAGACTACTCTTCGCCACTGTTTTGAAATGCATTCAAATCTGAATTTGTTTTCGAGTGAGAGATAAGACAACAACTCTTCGCACAAATCATCACCGAATCGATCCAAAGAGTCCGAAGAATGGATGAAATATTCGGACATTTCTTTACAATTGTCTCAAATATACTCCAATTGTATTCAAATCTTATCAATTTGTCGGTAAATATGGACTCAATTCGTGTCTTCAATGACCGGAATATTGTAGAATACGTTTTCGCCATTTTTACCACAAAATCAATTCATAACTCAATTAAAAGTCAATTCTTGTGATGAAAATGAATACAAAAATAAACTTCAAATAGACTTCACTTCAAACTCAAAGACAACTCTTTTTTGACTTCATTTCCAGTTTTGATGAAATCTCGTGAATAGTATTCAACGCTTCACTCAATCATTCATTTCACGCATAAAAGTATAGCTAAACCTAAATATACAACACTTTTGTTTGAATACATCTCTAATAAACCAATTATTAATTGATAAAAATATAATTATTAATAAATAATCAATAAATAAAATGAAAATTTTTTAATTCAATCAAAAATTTTATTATTTTAAATACAGAAAAGACATTCATATGAAAGAATACACTATAGAGTAGTGAACAGTATTTCATATTAAAGGATAACATTTTAAAAATCAATTGAATTAAAATGAATCCAAAAATTATTAAAAATATGTTTTAAAATGGATTAATGAATAAAACAGTCGAAAATTAAGACAAAAAACTACAATAAAAAATAAGTGCATAAAATCAATACTTATTTAAATGCTTAAATAGAGACTAAATATTGAACTAAATTTAGTTAACATTTGAATCAATGAAAAGTTGTTAAATTCAAAATATTTCGAAACAATGGTATGAAAAGAGGATTTCAGATCAAAAGTGTTCATGAGTTAAATGAAAATTATAGTAAGTAAGTAAAAATAAAGTGTTTAAACACAAAAAATGGTAACATTAATTGTAATTATAATTAAATGTTATATTTTAGTGAATGTATTGCAAATACATTACCATAGACTCAGACATGGGATCAAAGAAATGGTTATTTAGTGTTTAAATATTTAATGCTATATTAAAATTAATTTTGAAAAAACTTAAGATTTAACAGCTTTTAAAAAAAATGTAAAAAATTTTGGGACAATTAGTGAAGAGATTATTGACACACATTTCAGTCGTGTCTTCTTCCGGGTCTTCACAAACTCTCATAAAACTAAAGCTACGGATTTGTCTCAATCCAGACAATGATATCAACGACTCGTCGCTGATCTTCGCGTACTTTATCTCCAAATTCTGAAGATTTGGTAAATTGTGGACAATATTAGCAAAGAATGTGTCCGTGAAATACGAAATTGGATCATAACTACAGTTCTGTAAATGCAAATGAGTTAATCGTTTCAATGGCGCCAATGAATGGCTGGTCAGCGGCTCTCCCGTGAAATTTTTTGCAAATATTTTCAGTCTCTTTAATGCCTTAAAGTGTTTACTAATGGTATGAATCAATTGTGGCGTCCATTCATCGATAATAATGTAAAGATTCTTCAGATGTCGACAATTGATACCAATTTTAGTCAATAATGGGATCAATTCTTGACACGAAACTGAGAGGACATGGAGTTCAAGACTAATCAATGTTTGCATTCGCGGCAAACTATCACTCAAACGGTTTATAAATTCATTGATATTTTGGTCTTCAAATCTCAATCGCAAATACAATACAATTGTCTTCATTTGATGGCCGTATTTGTCCGCAAACGCATCCAATGCCTTCAGGTCTTCAACCGATTCTTCAACATCTAACACAATACTGTTGAGTCGTTTAAACGGCATTTCGGTCACCGATTGTAAGGTTAGGTTTGGTATTAAATGGGAATAAACTCTAAAAGACTGCAAATTCACACACATTTGCAGCCATTTCTGAATCCACTTCTTATCAATTGTTTCATTGGATGTCAAAAATCTCAATGTTTTCAATTGTGGACCAAATTTAGAGAAAAACTTGTCAATTGTTTTGACTCTAATGTCCGAGAAGTTGATGTAAATGTCCGTCAATTGAGAGCAATGTTTGATCATTAGATCAATGGCTGTGTCTTCGGTACGAAAATAGTTTTTAAAACGAATGGATGAAATATTTGCACATTTTGTGACAATTGTCTCAAATGGACTCCAATTGTGTTCAATTCTAATCAATTTGTCGAAAAATATGGACTCAATTCGTGTCTTCAATGACCAGAATATTGACTGAAAAGTATTCAAACGTTTCGTTGGGATTATTCTTTGCCAAGAATTGTCATCAATTGTTACCACCGTTTGACTCTTGAGGACAACTCTTCGCCACTGTTTTGAAATGCATTCAAATCTGAATTTGTCTTCGAGTGAGAGATAAGACAACAACTCTTCGCACAAATCATCACCNACGCCAAACGAGTCGACTATTTGAGTGCTCTTAAGTTTTCGCGATTATGCGGTCAGTTTCAGTCTGTTTTTACCATCATTTTATTTATCATAGTCTACCACAAAATCAATTCATAACTCAATTAAAAGTCAATTCTTGTGATGAAAATGACTTCAAATAGACTTCACTTCAAACTGAAAGTCAAACTCTTTTTTGACTTCATTTCCAGTTTTGATGAAATCTCGTGAATAGTATTCAACGCTTCACTCAAACACTCATTTGTTGCACAAAACTCTAGTTTGGGGAACAGTATAGTGGAAAGGGTGGGCAACACAACAGGGGTTTGCAATACAAAAGTTATCCCAAAAGTAATCAATTTATAAAATGTTTAGAATTTTATTTAATTTATGTTAATTTAAAAAAAACTAAATTAGTTTTGAAAATTCAAAAACTTTTGTTAGGAAACAATTATTAAAACTTGTAATCAATTCATTAAATGTTATAAAATTAAACATTTCTAGAAGATCTGAATTATTATAATTTATAAATCATTGAAAGTTTTGATTGCCATTTATGGGGTCAGTAATGCAACCCTCATATCCTTATTGTAAACCCCCTGTAATGGGGGCGCTATTAAAGGGTAGCAAATCTGTGAGTTTGACCACCGATTGAGTGACCACTCGATAGAAGGCTTCGTCCACTTCTTTGCCACTCTTAGCAGACGTCTCGATGAATGGTATGCCTGTATAGAGGGGTATACGAAATGGTCATTAAAAACAGTGATTGCAAGCATAGAGTGAGAGCGTTATCATTGCCATAGACTTTGTGGTAGACTATGATAAATAAAATGATGGTAAAAACAGACTGAAACTGACCGCATAATCGCGAAAACTTAAGAGCACTCAAATAGTCGACTCGTTTGGCGTCGATATCATCGCATTTATTGCCGACCAAAAGCCTCTTCACATCGGATCTGGTCTTGCGTTTCATATCTTTGATGAATTCATTCAAATGCCTGAATGTCTCCCATTTGGTCACATCGTAGACGAAGATAACGCCATCGACTTCTTTATAATCAGTACTCTTATTGAATTGGCGACAGTTTTCCCAGATTTCCAGATCAATGATCAGTTCATCAAACTCTATGGTACGGCTCCGGTAGCCGTTGATTGCGGTGACGTCCACAGGGAATGCGTTGCCTATGAAACGTGTCAATAGACTAGACTTTCCCACACCTTTCCCTCCGACCAGAAGTAGTTTGAATTTTTGAACACTTCGGGTCAGCATTTGGTTCACAATATAAAAAGCATAATTAATATGAGATAAAAATTACAACATTTTAAATGTGTTTATATACTTATTGTCTGAAGCGGTGGGTCTAGAGGTGGAGGGTATGATCACTGATCCCTTATCTGTTTAAAAAAGCAATTATTTGTTAACTTATTGACGTATTTGTGGGACAATGTATGAGAACCTGATGTTTGGTTCCGTCTCTCAAACAGGCATTCATTCAAATAATTGATTTCGGAATTCTTGGTCTTAATAGTGATTTGAAAGTCCAATAACTTTCGCTTATAATCGCTCTCGCGGTCAGACATACGGGAAATCTCCGCATTTTTGTCGGCAATAATATTCTTGAGATATTGGACACAATCGTGAGCCGACAGCTCCTTCTTCGTGACCATTGCTGTGCAACCATTTGGACACTCAGTCTTCACATCGGGATTAAAGGGGCACTGATTCTCGTGGGCTTTAATCTCATCGACTTTGGCCACAAACTGACAGCCACTGTCGGCGAAATCGCAACAGATCTCAAGTTTGGTGTAATAGTTGCGGAAAAATCTGGTCACGTCTTGCAAGTGATGCACTTTCAACGGTTGCCGACCGACTGGACACGACTGCTCTCTGGACAGCCACTCGTGAATACAGGCCCGACAGAAGACGTGCTCGCACTGGGCTGTGATTGGCTCGTCCAACACATCCCGACATATCGGGCACCGAAACTCTTCGTCTACGGCTGTTGTAAATCTTTGTTCAGCGAATCCCATATGAGATGTGTTTTGCCCATCAATTGGTCGCTAATATATGGTAAAAATGTTTGGCCCCTCCTTTCAATGTCGATAAATTTGAATCCCATTCGTGTTAAACCATATAATGAATTGTTTTTGATATGAATTGTGTTTTTATTCAATTATTTTTGTGTTTTAGTGTTTTCACAATTTGTATGAAATAAAACTAACGTCTGTTATAAAGTTTAGGGCCTTTACTCTGATTGAAATCTTTATATATTTACTTCATTCATGTATTGAACATTTAAACACTAATTGTGTGTTAATTACATTATTGATAAACATTTAATTTTGTATAATAAAATGTATTGTAAGGTAAATAAAATATATTATCTATATTAATTAAATTAATATATTAATTTTGTCATTTATATTAATAACTTTGTTTTTCCTAGATAACTATAATAAAACTTTGACTATTTTAGTGATTATGGTGAATCACAAATTATTGTTATCCTGTATTATTATACAGGAGCACAATTGTTCACTATATGACTAATTATTTGCCGCATTATTGACGTTCATAATATTTCTTATGTAATACATAAGTTATTATTAATTAAACTTAAATAACTTATTAATTAAAATTACCATCATTATAATCTTATTACAAGTTGGTGCATTGAGTTACATAATCTTTGTCTTTTAAAATGAATACAGAAATATTTCTACAATGTACACTTCAATGAATGCAAATATAATATTTAATAATTCAAAAAACATTTAGTTAAATAACCTTCATTTCATACAAATGTATTTAATCTAAATCATTAAACCTTATGTTTAAAGTTTGAGAAAATTACATTTGATAACCAAATGTTTAACACAAAGTCAATGTATTGATAAACAAATAGTTTTATCAATAATTCACCACAAAATATGAAAAATAAAATAATTTAATTAAAACAAAACATATTTTACAATTAAATTTATTTAAATAAATCATTTAATAGTTATAAACAAAACCATAGGCCTTAACAAACACATACAATATATTAAAAGCATTAATTAGGACCAGGGCAAAACATAAACTCAAAGCCGGTCTGTGGGTTACCGCCACAGGAGTACTTCCCAGTTGTGATGATATCCAACTCCGGGTCCACCGAATAGGCTGTCGGACAGTAGCGATGAAAAAGCTTTGTCGGGTAGTCTTTGGGCCACTTAGAGGTATCGCACTTATGGTCCTTCACCACCACCTCATCCTTACAACAGTACTCATTGGTCTTAAAGCGGGTGCAGGCGCTCAGACACGACACTATCTGATCGCCAGACATCACCTTAAGCTCATCCGGACAGTAGTCGTTGATGTTATAATAGCAACCGTTCCAATCGCACATGGTCGTCTCGTTCACTTTCATGTGGGTCATAGCTATCGGCGCTATACGTAGGGGCAGATTGAAGCCGTCGACCACATCGAGGTAATAGTAGTCGATGTGTCCTCTAATGCCCGATAGGTTAAAGTGCGCGACAGTGGCCGGAGTCGTGTCCGGAGTTCCCGTTTGGCACTTGTCGTAGATGTGATCCGTGCAGTGGGTTCGGCCCCATATACGGCCCGACCAGCCCAGGGGTATGTCGATGTCGACCCACGTGCCCACCGGCACCTCAAAGCTACCGTTGCCGGGATTGCCTTTGCCCTCATCGCCCACCAGTCGCGGCCACACAGACCACAGACAGTGGTTTTCAAACCGCAATTGACTCCCAACGCAAACACCGATACATACCGTTAAATATAATAGTGATTTCATGTTTGGTTTGGTTTGTAATTAAACTTTTTTAGTTTAAATGAATTAGTATTGGATTTTAATGTGAAATATTTATCTCGTTGTGTAAACCCTTATATATTGTGTGAATGTAATCAATATATTGATGTATTTCTCACGCATTTGTCTTGTTTTTTGTCTTAACTATAGTAACGATAATAATACTCAAAACAAATGATTTAATAATAAGTATTTATTAAATAACTTTCTCGAAATAAAATACAATATGTTTTTTATTGAAAATAAAGGATTTGAACACAAGAAATGCAAAACTAGTTGTAATTATAATTAAATGTAATGTTTAGTGAATGTATTCATTAATTACTATACATGAAGACATGGGATGAGGGAAACGGGTACTCAGTGTTCATATCATTAATACAATATTTAATCATTTAATCTAATGAAACAAATCTCAGGACAATTACTGATCACATTATTGACACACTTTTCACTCAAATTTATCGACATTGAAAGGAGGGGCCAAACATTTTTACCATATATTAGCGACCAATTGATGGGCAAAACACATCTCAT